AAATACTGACTTCTGCACATGAGCCACGAAGTTTCAATCGCACTGTACATGCGTGCCCGCATGTGGTATTTTGTGGAAGAGCCACACTCAAGGGGCCAAAAGCCGCATGTGGCTCACGAGCCGCAGTTTGCTGACCACGGGCTAGGGCAAAGAGTGTTTTTTCATACTAGTCAAAGGATCCACATAAAGTAATAATGTAACTGTCTGCAGAAGTAATAAAGTAATAATGTTACTGTCTGTGATATAGATAAGTTTATTCCGCTGTCATCAACATGGCTAGTGACTCATGGAAAACAGATGTCCCGGCTGTGATTTAGAAAAATGGTTTTGTGTCAGTTATCTGACTCATGGGGAGGCGGGGAGCCACTCTGCCCCGTCTGCCGTGCGCTCTGCGGGAGGACCTCTGGGAGGGTTTGTCTCTGTAGCTCTAGCACTCAGAACCAAACCGCAGCAGGAGGCGAAGCTAGTGAACCTAGCAACCGACCAGCACCATGGAGACCAGTCAACCCAGCTTGGGTGTGGCCCCAAATTGGTTCAATGTTCTGGCATTTGCTGGTTAGCTGGGAGTCTTATGTTCCCAGAACAAAATTAGACAATTCTATTTACCTTTTGTTCTTTTCTCAGGAAAGAAATAAAGTTTTATACATCAGAGAACTGCATTTTTTTTTTTTTAGATTTGGGACCTTTAATTTTTGTTGAGAAGGCACAAGCATGGAGGCTTTTAGGGATGCTCGAGACAGCCAGAGCTTCCCCAAAACCTCAGGGGCCCCCTTAGCACAGCGTCCCTGGGTTGAAATAGCAGCTGTGTGAACAGGTCATTAACGGCTTGGCAGCTTGGAAGGGGCCAGAATGCAGGGTCCACCTGTTAGAAGTGGCGCACTGACCACAGGAGACAAAACTGAACCTGTGGCAGCGACCTCGAAGCTCTTTATGAAGAGACCCCAGGCCCAAGCTGGGGCGGTCCAGCTGGGTGGTCACCTTCTTGCTGAACACCCCTCCCCGCCATGCTGCTCACACCACACCGGGTTCTTCTGCTGACCTTCTGAGGATGGAAACCCGGGGCTGCTTGTCTGGTTTCTTCTCACCTGATACTCTCAGGGGGTTTTAGTTTTGTTTTCTTCAAGGCAAAGTGTTCATATTATTCTGCCAAGCCGCCTCCAGAGCTGAGAACGGGGATGAAAATGTGGTGCCCCTCCCTGTTTCTCACGCAACACAATGTCAATTTGCACAGCCACGCCCCTCCCTTTGGCTTCCTAGTGGATTTCCCCAAGAAACCAAATTTGTGGGTTCCACCAGTCCCTCATTAATCATCCTCACAAGTGGCCTTGCTATCAGTTAAAAATAAAAAGGAGAGAAAGGCCTGCCCAAGAAGGGGGTCCTTTTCATTAGAGAACTATTTATAGCAAAATTAACACAGAAGGCAACTAGGCCCTCTCCACTTTATTCTTGGGGCCCGGGGTCTAAATAATAAACCCAAGGAGCCTGCGTTCAGCACTCCACCCATAATATAGACTGACGTAGGTCCTATGGTTTGAGACTCAGCCACGGCACAGGAATGGCTGGGCTAAAACACGTCAGAATGTAGCAGCTTCCCGACTAGAACAGCGACTTTCAACCCATGTGCCACAAGAATTTTACTGGGGGGTGCGGGGGAGCTCAGCATCCCATAGCAAGGGTCAGAGCCAGAAACTGGGCCAGATGGCTTCATTCCAGAGCCCCTTAGCCCCTTCCCTATTTAATCAAGGGTTTACCTATTTTCCCTTAGATTGTCAAATAAAAAAATGACAACAGCCGACACAACAATAGCTGTCCGGTGTGAATGAATCAGTATTATACCTATTTTTTTTTATCAGATCGGCCAAAAAAATGTATTTTTTTGTAGTGCCGAAGAATTTTAGTGATTAGTTTATGTGTGCCATGAGATGAAAAAGGTAGAAAATCGCTGGTCTAGAAGCAGGTTAGAATAGCAGTTTTCCCTAATATGCTACACTCAATGGAATAAGACATCTCTTGTGCACCTACCATTATGATTGTATTGCTGGTAGTTTGTTCCTGGAACTGAAATTAGTCAGCTAGTTTCTGCAGCTTCTGTGGGGGCTCTGGGTTTGTTTTCCTCCCTGGGCTGCCCAGTCTGTCCTGGTCATGCCATTTGAGCCCAGGATTGCCAGCTTCCTTCCTGCTGTGGAGGAAGGCCTGAGCGCCTTGGGTGGGGACTTCCTGGGAGCAGAGGGAAGAGAGCGGGCTTAGAGGCAGCAAGGGAGGTGATGGCTTGCGTGCTCACTGGCCTAGCTCAGTGGTTGGCAAACTGCAGCTCGCGAGCCACATGCGGCTCTTTGCTCTCTTGAGTGTGGCCACAAAGTTTCAATCGCACTGAGGCCCGCACGTGGTATTTTATGGAAGAGCCACACTCAAGGGGCCGCAGTTTGCCGACCACTGGCCTAGCTGGTCTGCATGTGTGTGTCTCCCGTTCTCCATACACCGCGGGCACCACCATCATGGGCATGTTTCAGATGAGATTGGAGACGCAGGGGCCAGGTAACTTGCTCAGCATCCATGGTAAGGGTCAGAGCCAGAAACTGGGCCAGATGGCTTCATTCCAGAGCCACTCAGCCCCATCCCTCCATGGCGCCCTGGGGTTGGGGGGCATGCATCAGTTTTCCTCAGGGACAGACGGGCAGGTAGACGGGGCCTGCTCCATGGGCCCTGCTCTGGGACGGGTGGTCATAGGGTCTGGGGTGGCACGTAGCTCTAACCTTTGCCTGTCTCGGTGGGAATATTCACACCAAAGTCTCCAAACATTAATGGTTGGCTATCATTCTCATCTGCAAAGTTGTTACTCTACTAAAATTCAAATTGCTTTTTGTGATAAATTCCCTAAGTCCTATAGTTGTTCATGTAGAGCCGTTTAGAATTATTTTCTCCAGTTCATTTGATTTCATAGAACCAAGAATTGTAATCCATGAACATATTTAAAAGTGTTGGAGCAAGAAAATCAGGTAATAAAAGGCATTTCAATCTCTTTAAAATTCATTTTTATGGGCCCAAGGATGCTACCCATCAAAGCTTGGCGCTGTTCACCTTAAGCAAGGTTGAAACCTGCGGAATTTCTCCCCCAGCGGCCACTCTGGGCCTTTCCTCCGCCTCTTTTCTGTCGCCCCTACCCCTCCTAGGTTAGGCCCTCCTGCCCTTCCTTCGCGAGCCCCTCCCCCAGGAGCCAAGCCACGTGCGCAGGGGCGCCCTGTACCCAGTGGGAAGGTGAGTGGGAAGGTCATGTTCCAACATGTTACCCAGAACTAGGTGGGGCAGGGAGTGGGAAATTGGGGGGTTGTAACATTTAAATGTGAATTTGTGGTCTCTCAATAATTCGAGAGCGGCCTTTTCAGAGAATTAGGCCAAGCGACTCTGCAGGAAGTTCCCGTTTAGAAGCCGGGAGGTGGTTTTTCTGAGATCGGCTTTCACACACGTGTCCCCGGGACAGGGGCTGGCAGGGGCATCCCAGGCGCCGCAGGCTCCGGGCTTGGCCAGAACAGGCAGACATTCTGTTAAATGTGAGGATGTCCCGTTGGCTCCTGCCCGAGCCTGGCGAGGACTCGCGTTGCCTTGTCTGCAGGACTTTTAAAGAAGGAGCAGCGCGCGTTCTGCGGAGGGAGGGGCGCGTGCTGGGAGGTCGGGTTCCAGACCCCGCACCCGGACGACTCCTCCCCACGCCCTCCCGCTGGGCTCCCTCCCGCTGGGCTCCTGCCCCGCAGGCCCTCCCAGCCAGA